AAAAAAAAAAAAAAAAAAAAAAAAAAAAAAAAAAAAAAGCCTCTTGCCCATGTGATGTTTGACGACTCTCTCTCGGTTTGGCTCCACTGACAGCATGGAGTGACCTTCAGGAAAGGCCTCCAGCACATTGGGTGGAACCTCCGTGGTGAATTCTGGGGTTGGAGTCACATAGGATAGTTAGGCATGGTTAAATTACAATCTGTTTGATTGGCAATCAATAAGAAAATGGATCCACTTGAGTGTTTGAGGTTATAGGCAAGTAATTTCACTTCTCTAGGCCCAAGCTATATAAAATAGGGATAATAATATCTGTAGCACTGACCTGACAGGGTTGTTGTGGTAGTTAAATGAGATAATGTACACAGAGAACACTGCCAATCTTACGGTACCATCCAAACGTAAACTGTTGTTAGTATTGTCTGTGCAACTTTGGCAAAGTCACTTGGCCTTAATTCCTTTATGGTTAAATGAAGGAATTTGATTAGAAGATTTCTGTAGTCCCTTTGAACTTTGAATCCTATGACCTTAAAGCAAGTAAAAAATGGAAGCAATCAAGGAGAAGAAGTGGTCATTGAGATCCATTCACCAGGCCAGGGGGAAAATGAACAAAGTCTAGGTTCAGTAGAGCTCATAACCCAAGAAAATGGGCAGATCCTCAAGATCCTAGGAAATTGAGGGCCTGGGGTAGGAAGGGTGCAGTCACTGGTGAAAGCTTGAGGTTAATCTCTGGCTCTCATAGCAAAGGATCTCTCTAGTTTCCAGCAGAAGAGCTGGTACCTAGGAAAGTGAGGCCGAAAGTCTGGGGCATTATCCTTCTTAGATGTCTTCTCCACCATGCCCTCCATGCCTTGACCATTCTTACACTAGGAGCAACTTCTGCTCATTTCAAGATCTTTAGCAGTCTGGGGATGTACCTCTGCGTTGACGCACTGCAAAGGGGTTGGGGACACAGCAACCTGAGAACAAAGGCCCAGGAAGGAAGGAGACTTCAGCTCTTTCAGAAAGTGGGAAGGCCAGGGGAAAAAAAGGCTAGGAATGTTATATAAAGAAAGACATAGCTTGGCTCTTGACTAGTTTGAATCCCCTAATAACCCAGGAGAACATGGACCTGGGGTCTGGGGAGGGGCTGCTGCTTTCAAATTTCCCTTCCCAGTTAGGGGATCTCACACCTGTCCTAGGATGATTAAGGCCAGGAGAGAGGGAGAGACAGGAGGTGAAAGGTGGAGAGTTGGGTATTAGAGCACAATCAGAAGGGAGTGAGACGTTCATTGTAATCCATTTCCATCCACTGAGCCAATTTTCCTTGTGCTCATAGGAGAAATATTTCATAGTCTGCTGCCATGGCATGTGTGTGTGTGGGTGGTGGTAACAGAGACACCCCCAGAGTGGAGAGAGCTTTCCTCTTCTTTGGGCTCCAGGATTGGGCTGAGGGGGTGGGACTGGTGACTAAGAGGAGAATAACAGGAAAAAAAGGCCCCATGGTAGCAGCTCCAGGAAAACCCTAGTCAGCCTTACAGAGACCTGTGTCCTCTCCAACGGCTGCATTTCCATCCCTCCTCCTCCTCAGTTGTCCCACAGCCCAGCTTTCTAAAGTAAACATAGGAGGAGGAGGAGATGACAATAGGGGGTGAAAATAAGTCATCTGGGTGTCCAGTTTCATGCTGAAGCTTGGGCTCCAAACCTAAAGCTCAACGAACAGTGAATTGCAAGTTGGCAAAGGGCTGCAAACCGTTTGATTTGAAAATTCAAATCCTATAGACAAAATGGAAATGTAGGGGCTAGATATTGGTACAGTTAGGTGGATTAGGGAATGGCTAAACAATTGGACCCACAGAGTACTGAAGTAATCTGGATGCCAGTCTCTAGTAGAGGACCCCATGATTGAGTCCGTACTTGCCAGCATCTCTATCAATAACTTGAAAGCATAGAT